TAAGACAAAAATAATAAATAACAAATAGATATATAGATATATATACATACGTAAGTAGGTACAGATATATAGAAGACAAAAAGATAAAAGGATTGAACAAAAAAATCCCCCACATAACAGCAAGGAGAACACATAGAAGTAAGGGAGAAAAGAAGAAAAGAAGAACTAGAAAGAACATCTCGAGAGAAAAGGAAAAACTCACCTCAAAGAAGCCCGGAAGCAAGACCGAAACTCTACAAATCTTTATCTATACACGTTTCTTTTTTCTTTTCTTTTGCTACTATCTCTTTTCTTTTTTTCTCTCTTTTTCTTTTCTTTCTTTTTCTCTTTCTCTGTGGTGTAACCCCCCCTTTTTTCTTTCTTTTTTCTTTTTTTTTCTTTCTTTTTTACTATCTTTTTTCTTTCTCTTTCCCCCCCCCTTCTCTCTCATTCTTTCTTTTCTTCTCCTTTTTAGTTAGCTTTCTATAAAACTTCTCTGATTTTTAATGATATGTATTATGAAAATATTTAATAAAGATTATTTTTTAAAAAAGATAACCATCCAAACAAAATCAAACTCCAACAACTGGTGAACTATATGCAAGAAAAAGGAAATCTTAGAACAGGAATCCTCAAACTAAGGCCCGGGGGCCGAATACGGCCCTCCAAAGTCATTTACCCAGCCCTCGCTCAGGGTCAACCTAAGTCTGAAACTATTTGAAAGCACATAACAATAACAACAACAACAACAACAACAACCCTATCTCATCAGCCAAAAGCAGGTCCACATTTCCCATTGAAATACTAATAAGTTTATATTTGTTAAAATTGTTCTTTATTTTAATTATTGTATTGTTTTTAATTGTTTTAGAACTACAAACAAGATATGTGCAGTGTGCATAGGAATTCATTCATGTTTTTTTCAAATTATAATCCGGCCCTCCAACAGTTTGAGGGACTGTGACCTGGCCCTCTGTTTAAAAAGTTTGAGGACCCCTGTCTTAGAATATTTATTTATTTATTATTTATTTATGTAGGGCTTTTATATCCCGTCCTTTCTCAACCTCCGCAGAGGGACTCAGGACGGCTAACAAGTGGCACCCCATGGCACCCACATCAAAACATAAATACACAATTAACAGCAATGTAATAGTAACAACAATATAAAACAGTATAAACAGTATAAAACCATAGAAACAATATAAAAATAATATAGCAATAGATACACATTTTCTGGAAGCCAGTTCTGGTTGTACAAAAGGCTTGCTTTATTTTTGTCCCATTATATTTTTAACATAGATATTAAAAGAGGATTTTTATAATAATAATAATAATAATAATAATAATAATAATAATAATGTATTGTTGAAGGCTTTCATGACCGGAATCACTGGGTTGTTGTAGGTTTTTTCGGGCTATATGGCCATGTTCTTTTTTTAAAAAATTATTTTTATTTAGAATAAAGCTCTTTCACAGGTGGTACCTAACCCCAGTACAAATAGCAAAGTTTAACAAAGGAAGGAAAGAGGGAAAATGCTGGAAGTGTGGCAAACAAAAAGGAGACTTTATCCACATGTGGTGGAAATGCAAAAAAGTCAAAACTTTCTGGCATAAGATCTATAAAAAAATGGAATCAGTTCCACAAATCAAATTCGATTTTAAGCCGGAGTTTTTTTTTTTACTGGGCATAACAGATTTTGACATGGATAGCAATACAAGTAAAATATTTTTTGATATAGCAACAGCAGCAAGAATAAAACTAGCACAACTCTGGAAAGACAAAGAAACACCCACGATAGAGCAGGGGATAGTCAACATCTTAGAGATCATGAATATGGATTACTAACTCAAAGGTTGTCACAAAATATGATTTAAAAAAAAGATACAAATTGGGACAAGTTTTAAACTTCCTTGAACAGGAGAATAAGGAGATAAATATTCTAAGAATGTAACAGAGCAAATATAATAATAATTAATAATAATAATAATAATAATAATAATAATAATAAAGATATACATAGATATATGCGTAAACATATACATACAGCACAACAAGAATATAAAAAGAGACAAGAGAAAAATAAAAATAATTATTATTTTAAAAAAAGAAGAAGAGGACCGTTGTTCCCACAATGGAGAAGATAGGGAGACATTCAGTCTTGGATAAGAAGAGAAATCTTGGACCTGGAGATCCTGGAAGCACACTATCTTAGTAGAGACCAGCTCTTGGGTCATCTATGTGTTCTTTCCTACCTCCCACCCACCCCCCGTCCTTTTTTTTCCTCCTTTGCCCCCCTCCTTTCTCCTCTCTTCTTTCCCCGTCTGTCTTTTGATACTTTATCTATTTCACGTTGTTCCCCCACTTTCAATGTATGTGGATTTGTTTTATCTTAAAATATAATCTCAACGTTCTCACCTCTTTTCTATCCCGCTCCATTCTTGGGAGCACATTATTCTAAATATGGCCTTGTTCTTGAGGCATTCTCTCCTGACGTTTCGCCTGCATCTATGGCAAGCATCCTCTGAGGATGCTTGCCATAGATACAAGTGAAACGTCAGGAGAGAATGCCTCAAGAACATGGCCATATAGCCCGAAAAAACATACAACAACCCAATAATAATAATAATATTTTTGTGTATTGACAACTTACATGGGATTGCATTGCTAAGTCTGGTTCAGATGTCATGTACCCCTCCAACAAACCATGGTTTCTTGGCATACAAAAAGGGAAAAGTGTGCATTTCTCTATTCCCTTCTCTTCTCCTTGCAGGGCCAGCTGTAAAGGCTTCCTAGTTTGATAAATATCCGTATCTGCCTGGAAACCAGAACACTATAGCTTAATTGATGCCAACAAATAGAATGCAAACCAGTCTCGATGATAAGCTGTGCTTTAGTCGTAGGAATGTTGGACCCTGACATAAAAGGCAGCTGTAGTTCAACAAGCCAGAAAGTCTCCTCTGCAGTGAACATGTAAAGAGAAGAAAGGAGAGATGTGGCAGAGGAAGACATGGGACATATTAGAGATACCTAGAACTTCCAAACTATTGGCATCAAGAAGATAAGGAAAGAGGAACAACATCTATAACTTTAGGTTCTTGTGGGTTTTTTCGGGCTATAGAGCCATGTTCTAGAGGCATTTCTCCTGACGTTTCGCCTGCATCTATGGCAAGCATCCTCAGAGGTTGAGAAGGTCAGACCTTCTCAACCTCTGAGGATGCTTGCCATAGATGCAGGCGAAACATCAGGAGAAATGCCTCTAGAACATGGCTCTATAGCCCGAAAAAACCCACAAGAACCTAGTGATTCCAGCCATGAAAGCCTTCGACAATACATCTATAACTTTGTCAACCAGGAAACGTTTTATCATAAACGATGTAATGATAGCAAAACAATACCTTCACTGCTGACATAATGAACTACTGTAACATAAGACAGACTGAACAATATGTGCTGATGATGTTCCGCTCTGTGTTGGGTTCTGTGTTGGGTTGTGTCCAGTGTATTTAAATAGACTGTGATGAAAGGGATTAATCAGTGGAATTGGACAATTTGGCTGCACTACCAAAGAGCACATGTAGGTCTGACTTGAATTCTATTTATGAGAATTGAATGAAAAGTAATGCCTCCACCTTCATAACTGCAACAGATGGCAGTACTGGTATGCGGCAGGTACTGGCTTTTTCAGTAGACTCTCCTCTACATTTCATTTTGGCGGGAAGCCTTAGCATTGAATGGTTGTATTGTTAAAGTGCGAAGTATGGAACCCTGCATAGACGGTTAATCAATGCAACTTAAGCAACGTGTAGTCATTGAATTCTTGACAGGAGAAGGTGTCACCTCAATATCTTTAAACTTACTCACCCAACGATGTGCAGTACTCACATCAACACAATCACCATAAACAGCTTGCATTCTCTGATGAATCTCCTTTGGGGCGGCACCTTCTGCTGTCAAGAATTCAATGACTGCATGTTGCTTAAGTCGCTTATGACCGACCATCTGTACAGGGTTCCATACTTCGCATTTTAATAACACAACCATTCAATGCTAAGGCTTCCAGCCAAAATATATCTGTAGAGAGGCCCTGCTCTCGGTCCCGCCACCATCACAAGTACGGCTGGCGGGGACAAGAGACAGGGCCTTCTCAGTGGTGGCCCCTCAGCTATGGCACGCCCTTCCTAGGGAGATTAGATTGGCTTCCTCACACCTATCATTTCGGAAGAATCTTAAGACATGTGTCAGGTTGCTGTCCTTCGAGCTTAAGTCAACATAAAGCTGAATTCCCCCTCCTGACTTTGGAGTGAAATATAGGAGGCCTGATAAGGGCCATCTGGACAAAAAGGGAGATGCTTTGTGTTCTCTGAGAATGGAATGTAGCCATAAAACAAGATAAGGGAGGGGGAGTGTGAAATAGATAGGTAATATACCACTGCTTTCGTGGGAAACTGTCAGAACTAGCTTTGTTTCATCCTGGTACTGAATAATAAACATGTGTCCAAGGAGCCTCCTTGTGAGCGTGTCTTTATTCTAAAATCTGCCTGGAGCTGACAACATGGCTGTTTGAACAGGCATTTGCAAATACTGAGTAACGGATATAATAACGGAACAAATACATGACGGAACTGGACATTGTTTTAATGAGTATCGATTGAAGTATGTTTTAATATAATGTGATGATTGTATTGTTGTTTACCTTTTATACTATATATTGTATCTATGTTTTCGATGGCATTGAATTTTTGCCTCGTAAACCGCTTTGAGTTGCCGGAAGGCTGAGACGGGCGGTATATAAATATACTAAATAAATAAATAGAGGAGAGTCTACTGAACAAGCCAGTACCTGCCGCATACCAGTATTGCCATCTGTTGAGGTGTTACGAAGGTGGAGGCATTACTTTTCATTCAACCCTCGTAGTCACATTCTCTATTTATTCATTACACAGATAAAATCTATTGTGCGGAAGCTTGGTTTTTATGTCTTTTACTATAACGAGCCAAACTCTTCCTGAACAGAGACATTTCAGCAACTTGGAGACGCAAGCGCTGCTCTGTCTGCTGGAATGCTCTGCCCTCCAGTGGTCTCTGCTTTGCTGGTAGAAAAGACAATTTCAGCACTATGGACAGAGGACAGCACATTTTTACAGCTGCAAGCCTGCATTATGTTGCACTGTATGGCTGCATCACATTTTTTAATTCCATCTGTTCCATAGAGCTCTGTTTGGGACCAAGCATTGCGCCTTGGGTTGACATTAACATATTGATTTTCAAAAGATACACCCAACAAATCTTTCCCAGTTTGGTGTGACATATCTTTTCTTAGATCCATGTCTGGCTTTGTCTGGTGGTCAATATCAAGTGTTTCTCTGGATGCACTTTCATGAAAAACAGAATACATGTGCATTGACTGGCGGGAGCACTGTGCCCTCTGATTTCCTGAAAGGGAATTGCCATGACTTCTTGGGAAAGTGTCCTCAAAAATACACAAGGCTTTGTCGTCTTGTTCTTTCTTGTCAGACTGTGGAAAGAAATTGGTATCAGTGTATTTGTAGACCCAATGAATCACCATTATTACATGACACATATGAGCCCTTTTTGTTGAAAATAAGATCCCGTCAAAGTCAACTAAATGGACAACAGACTGCTCATGGCAGAATTGTATCTTCTAATCTGCAAAGCAATGGAAAATATTCCTACTTTCCAATTTCATTTAAATATTCCACTGTTCTTGATGAAGTCCAAATGGTAGTTCACACAAAACAATATTTTTCCTTCAGCATTTGTTTTTTGAAACTTATTCAAATTTGATTTAAGGTAATATTTGCCTTGTATTTACCTCATCAGATGTGGTGCTGATATATCTCTCTGTTGGCTTTGGTGAATAACTAGGTGACTGGCTGCTTAGCGAAGATTCATAACCTGGAAGGAAAACAATCATTCTGAAATCATGTTAACTCTCTGTGCCAATAGACAAAGAGCCCTTCCACACAGCCCTATAACCCAGAATATCAAGGCAGAAAATCCCACAATATCTGCTTTGAATTGGGATATCTGAGTCCACATTGCCATATATTCTAGTTCAAAGCAGATACTGTGGGATTTTCTACCTTGAAGTTCTGGGTTTTATGGCTGTGTGGAAGGACCCCTAAAACATCTAAGAAACTATTGCAATGGTTGTTAAATAACAGTTATTTTCTGATGGTAAATTAGCCAAGATAGTAATTGTGTGTGTGTGTGTGTGTGTGTGTGTGTGTGTATGTATGTGTGTGTGTGTGTGTGTGTGTATATATATATATATATATATATATAGAGAGAGAGAGAGAGAGAGAGAGAGTAGAATTAGCCAAGATTGTAACACTATTCAGCAGTCCCTAGGATTGGTGTATTATGGTATTTCAGGCCCAGCGTGCGAAAGCACACCCTGCAATATGGTTTCCATAAGATGTTCCCATTAGCTAATGAATATTGCATTGATTGACTGCAGCTTCTGGTCGTCTTCAAGGGAAGTCCCATGTAGAGCACACTACAGTACTTTAATTATATATAATTAATTATAGATGTCCAAGAAGGTCCAAAGATGTTGTTAACAAATATAAAAGTGGCAACGTATTAAAACATTTGTACATGAACTGCACGAGTTGAACAATGCAGACATTTGGGCTCAATGTTTCTTGGAAAAAATTGTCACCATATTACCATTGTACTAAGAATGGGATAGGAACCAAACACAAGCATATTCACGTGCATTTACACATCACCACATTACATGGATTTCAGGTAAACTTTGTCATCTTGCTTGTTGGTTGTGTGAGAATTCTGAACGCATTTGGTGAATGACTCAAATGTAAAGAAGACACATTTTGCTTCCATTAATTCTTACAAAACAGTTTCCTTTTCTTAAAAAAAAAACCTCAACAGGACAATTAAGTTTAGTGAGGAATCTGGTAGTACTAACCCTTTTGTTCTCCTTGATTTGAGTACTCGTCATAGTAATTGCAGCATGTTTTTTCTGTCTTTAAAAAATAAATACCATGTTAGCACAACTTAAAATCCCATACATATTTTTCGGCTCCACGATGTAATATCAGTAACTCACTAAGAAAGATGGCTCGCTCTTTCTTTCTTTCTTTCTTTCTTTCTTTCTTTCTTTCTTTCTTTCTCCCATCCTAAACTGAAAGCCTGCCCCACTGTTTATCCTTTTTGGGCTCCCCTCAATTACATATTTTCTATTCCTATCTTATCCAGGGTTTTATGATTTTACATTGTCAATTTGGCCTGCCCATTCTGCTCGATTTTATATTGTGTTAATTTGCTTTATTTATTTTATTTTGCTATTGTATGTATTTTATTCTGATGTACTGTATGTACTCGAGTATAAGCCTAGTTTTTCAGCCCCTTTTTTAGGCTGAAAAAGCTCCCCTTGGCTTATACTCGAGTCAAGGTTATTTATTATTTTACTCTGTTATTAGTACTATTGTTATTTCATGTATTATTTTACTCTCTTTTTTATTATTACGTTTACAGTATTTTACGCTATTATTATTATTATTATTATTATTACGTTTATTATTTTACATTATTTGTTATTATTATTACATTTATTATTTTACTTTATTCTTATTGCATTTATTATTCTACTCTATTATTACTGTTTTTATTGCATTTCCATTATTTTACTTTATTATTATTATTATTATATTTATTATTTTACTCTATTATTGTTGGAAGGATATGTAAGTAAATTTACATTGAAGATATGTAATGATTTAATCAGAGTTGGGCAGTCTTATCTCAAATTACAGTTTTATGTAAATATTTAAAAACATTTCACCTCCTGATGCCTCAATTAATGTAATTTTATTGGTATCTATTTTTATTTTAAAATTTACCTGTAGTGGCTGCATTTCCCACCCTCGGCTTATCCTCGAGTCAATATGTTTTCCCAGTTTTTTGTGGTAAAATTAGATGCCTCGGCTTATATTCGGGTCAGCTTATACTCGAGTATATACGGTAATAAATTACACTGTTTTGATTTGCTTTGGTATTGTTTTGTTGTATTGTGTTTTGGGCTTCGGCCTGTGTGAGCCGCATCGAGTCCTTCGGGAGATGCTAGCGGGGTACAAATAAAGTTATAATAATAATAATAATAATAATAATAATAATCTTTTGTTGTCTTCATTCTGTATTTTATTTTGCTGTATTGCATCTTTGGGCTTGACCTCATGTTAGCCGCCCCGAGTCCCCTTTGGGGAGACGGTGGCGGGGTATAAATAAAGATTGTTGTTGTTGTTGTTGTTGTCAAGGGAATATATCAGGATCTCCCTTGCCTCCATAGTGAAGTGGCCCACTGGACTTTTGCTGAATTAAATTCTCTCCTGTTTACCACTCATAGGACTGCAACACAATATAGCTACCAAATGAGAGATTCCCTCCTGGGCACACAGAAAACTGGGTGACTTGGAAGGCACTGAACAGACTGCGCTCTGGCACCACGAGATGCAGAGCCAACCTTCGGAAATGGGGCTACAAAGTGGAATCCATGACATGTGAGTGTGGAGATGAGCAAACCACTGACCACCTGCTGCAATGCAACCTGAGCCCTGCTACATGCACAATGGAGGACTTTCTTATAGTAACACCAGAGGCACTCCAAGTGGCCAGCTACTGGTCAAAGGACATCTAATCAACTACCAAGCTTGCAAACTTTGTGTTTTGTTTGTTTGTTAAAAAATGCAATACTACTGTTTGGTTTGCTCCTGACATGATAAATAAATAAATAAGGTTTCACAGACCTTACTAAATGAGAGACGGGTGACTACTATAGAACCTGGCAGCTACAGAGGCATCTATTGCCTGCTGCTTCTCAGGCTGGCATACAGGAAGAGCAATAGGCAATTCCTCCTTACAGCCTGTGATATACATAATAGGCCTGTGCGGTTTCGTTCGTTAATTTCGTTATTCGTAAAACATTCGTTATTTTTAGCATTTACGAAGCGATATCAAAACATTTTTTCAAACCCGGAAGGGTTTTAAAATAACGAAGCGGCATCCCCCATCCTTTTAACGAGCTTCCGCCCGTTTCGAAATTGGATGGAGGATGCTGGTGCCTGGGAGCCAATCCGGCGCTCCCAAGCAGTGCACCGTCGCTGTTTGTTTTTGATTGGCCGGCGAGCCCTTTCAAAGCGGCTCCGCGCGGCCGTAGCTCATTGCTGCAGAGGGCGAGGGAGAGAGAAGAGGTTGGCTTGGCAATGGCTAGCAACTGGATTGGATTCATTCCTTGCTTGGATTCATTCCTTGCTGCTGTGAGTGCTGCTTATATTCCTTGCTTGGATTCATTACTTCCTTCGGTTTTTGTGAATTTGTTTCTTAATTTTTTGGTTAATTTTCCATTTTTAATATTTTTAATATTATTTTTTAATATTATTTTTTAATATTATTTTAATATTATTCTTAAAAAATATTCTAAAAAAGAAAAGACTCTTCTGTTGGTGTGTGCTCTCATTTGCTGTCTCCTGCCTGTGTTTGGTCCACATTTGGGCCATTTTTTGGTTAATTTTCCATTTTTAATATTTTTTAATATTATTTTTTAATATTATTTTTTAATATTATTTTAATATTATTCTTAAAAAATATTCTAAAAAAGAAAAGACTCTTCTGTTGGTGTGTGCTCTCATTTGCTGTCTCCTGCCTGTGTTTGGTCCACATTTGGGCCATTTTTTGGTTAATTTTCCATTTTAAAATATTTTTTTTAATATTATTTTAATATTATTTTTTAATATTATTTTAATATTATTCTTAAAAAATATTCTAAAAAAGAAAAGACTCTTCTGTTGGTGTGTGCTCTCATTTGCTGTCTCCTGCCTGTGTTTGGTCCACATTTGGGCCATTTTTTGGTTAATTTTCCATTTTTCAATATTTTTTAATATTATTTTAATATTATTCTTAAAAAATACAAAAAATTTACAAAATGTTTTGTAAATATTTACGAAATTTCGTAAATACCGAAACTTTTTTGGGGAAAATTTTGTAATTATTTTAAATATCGAAACAAAAAAACACCCCAATTACAAATCGATTTTAGAACCAAATTTTTTCTTGATCAACCAGGCCTAATACATAACTGTGCTCCAACAGAGAGAAACAGCTGGAGAATGTATGAGAATAGCTAGGAAGATGCCACTGTTGCCTGCAGCATCTGTCACTAGCCTTAAGCTTTCTAGAGATAGAGCCAGCCCTGTAAAGGGCGCACAAGATGACATAATTCTCTCTTCTGTTGGGATCATAAGGAACACTGAAAATATGCTAATCTGTCTTCAGCACTTTAGCAAACACTGCAACCCACATAACCTTTTACCTCTTCAAGTCCAAAGATCTGCAAATGATTCAGATTTGAGTCTGCCAGCGCATCCTCCCTGCTGAGAAACAAAAAGCTGGGAATGAATAAATGCCTTCCATTGCAGTTCAGCAGATGAAAACCATCATTGCTATTATGATGATACCATATGGTGGTGATAACTGTATGGTGGGTATATAGATCTACGACAATAAAATAGAAAGTCTGCATGTCTGTGGCAGCCATAACTCATTAGAATACCATCTGACAGTGTTGTCATCCACGCTGTAAGTTGAAAACTCAAACAGAAGATTGCTAGGAGCAAAGAGGGGCAGCCATAACGTATCAGGAAATCTCGAAAACACCTCAAATATTTCAGGATTTGGCCCAGGTTCCAGTGCTAATTTGGCTAGATTTATTTATTTATTTATTTATTTACAGCTTTTATATTGCGCCCTTCTCACCCCGCAGGGGACTCAGGGCGGATTACAGTGTACACATATATGGCAAACATTCAATGCCAATTTTTGACATACAAACATATACAGACATACACAGAGGCTATTTCACTTTTTCTGGCCGCCAGGGGAGCTGTCGCTTTCATCGTCCATCTGCGACGCTGATGAAGCACTTCCGCATTCCCCACATGCTTCCCACTGGAATGCTTTGCTGGAGTCTTCTTTATGGCCTCATAAATCAGTTAATTTAGCCTCCCCACACTTTAAGGTGGTACCTTATTTTCCTACTTGACAGATGCAACTGTCTTTTCGGGTTGCAAAGGTCGACAACAGGCTACACACAATTGGTTGGAAACCCACTCTAACCCGGGCTGGCTTCGAACTCATGACCTTTTGGTCAGAGTGATCTTGATGCAGCTGACACCTAGCCAGCTGCACCATAATCTAGGTTCCAGAGGGAGCTGTGGTAGCACAGTGGACTAAACCGCTAGCTGCAGGAAATCTGCTGACCAGAAGGTCAGCAATTCGAAGCTGTGAGTCGGGGTGAGCTCCCAACTGTCAGCCCTAGCTTCTGCCAACCTAGCAGTTCAAAAGCAAGCAAAGATCCCCCACTAGTAGAAGATTGGCTACTTAAGATAACAGAATATATGAATATGGACAAACTATCGCAGCTACTGAAAAATGCAAATAAAAAGAATAAAATCAATTGGGAACTACTTAAAATATATTTGCAGGAAGAAAGGAAACTCCAAATTAAATAATTTAAGTGGGGGTGGGGGAAGGAAGCAGAAGTATTTAGTGAACGAAGACATAGAAGGAAAACTTAACTCAACTTATTGAAATACTGTCCTCTGAGGATCGAACTGGAAGCAACCCCAACCCTTATCTCTCCTCTATCTTTCCCCAACCCTCTTTCCTACTACCCCCCTTATCCCCCAACCCATCCACACACACACACATTATATCCCCCTTTTCCAACCCTTTCCTACTCTCCTACTTTCTTCTAACTGTATTGTTCCCCCGCTTTTATTGTAATTTGAAAATAGTAGATAATAAAAATGATTAATAAAAAAAAAAGCATGCAACGCAAGTAAATCAATAAATACCGCCTCGGCGGAAAGGAAAAAGGGTGCCTCATGCAGATATGCAGACATGCCAGCAACACAATTGGAGATGTCTATGTACAACAGGCTCCTCAGCATGGAAAAATGGAACAAGAGCACCTCCCTCATGGCTGGAGTTAAGCATCACCTCCAGATGCCGGAGATGGAAAAAGGGGAAGGCCTTTATCTTGATCTGTGTTGCATGTCGTTGTTCACTGTGTTTAAAAGGCCTTGAATGTTTGCCTCATATGTGTATATAGTAATCCGCTCTGAATCCCTCCAAGGAGATAAAGCGGGGTATTAATAAAGTGTATTATTATTGTATTATTCTAATTCCAAGTCAACATTAAAATAAAGGCTTTTAAGAAACAAAATAGAGGAGTCTGACATTACACATTACACATCAGGAATTAATGTTGTGGGCTTTAAGAGAGTTTTGAGTTGCAATTCTAGATAGAATGTTCCTACAAACAAAAGGGGAGTCTGCCATAGTTCATCGGAATTTTTAATGGGCAACAAAACAGAGGGCTCTCTATACTTGCCGTTGGCCAACACACATTTTGGTGTCTCAGATGTTACCCCTGTTTCTGGGTATATTTGACCTGCTGATTCCAAAAAATGGCACCAGTTTCCCCCAGAACATAGGCCATATACCAGACTTCTTGGACTAGCCCAGAGAAAATCGTGATAACCAGACCTAAGAAATTATGTGGTCTAGTCAATGCAATTTTCTGAACCACCACCCTAAATAACCTCAGGAGCCCCCAGTGGCGCAGTGGGTTAAACCCCTGTTCCGGCAGGACTGAAGACCGACAGGTCTCAGGTTCAAATCCGGGGAGAGGTGGATGAGCTCCCTCTATCAGCTCCAGCTCCTCATGCGGGGACATGAGAGAAGCCTCCCACAAGGATGATAAAAACATCAAATTATCCAAGAGTCCCCTGGGCAATGTTCTTGCAAACGGCCAATTCTCTAACACCAGAAGCGACTTGCAGTTTCTCAAGTCGCTCCTGACACGACAAAAAAACAAACAAACCAAGAAAAGGCAAAAAAAACCCAAAAAAAACCCCAAGACACCAATATTTTGTTGAGTTGTGTAATCTGCTACTAAGATTCCTGAGGCATGAAAAACAAGGAAGAGTTAAAAGCATGAATTTTAAACTCGTGTCCTGTGTTTTATCCTCTGTCCTATGTATTTTATGAAAATATGTTTTAATATGTATCTTTTATAGAACTACATTTTAATATGTGTGCATGTGTGAATTTTTGCAATGCTTGTATGTTTTGACTGTGCTGTGATCCGCTTGAGCCATGAGGACAGGTGAGTAAGAAATAAAATTATTATTATTATTATTATTATTATTATTATTAGGTAAAGGTTGTCCCCTGACATTAAGTCCAGTCATGTCTGACTCTGGGGTGTGGTGCTCATCTCCATTTCTAAGCCAAAAAGCCGGCATTGTCCATAGACACCTCCAAGGTCATGTGGCCGGCATGACTGCATGGAGCGCCGTTATTATTATTATTATTATTATTATTATTATTATTATTATTAAAATGCTACTACTAAGACTCCTGGAGTGAAAAAAGGGAGGCTACATTACTGAAGTACTAATGGTAAGATTCTGGGATTAAAGGAAGGAGTGGGAAAACAGGAGGCTACATTAAGTGTGGACTCGCATACGTACATGTCTCCTAGTTATAAATAAAGCACCAACACTTTTAAGACTCACCGTTTTTGAAAATAGTTCTCTATTGTTTCTGCTACATTCATATTTTTCATTTGGTTTTCAAATCTCCCTAAAAGTAAAAGGCATGAGTCATATTTTGCACAAAAGCAAATGTTTCAGTAATAAACCTATTCTAAGTTGTTGAATTGAGGCTTTTGTCCCATCACTATGAAGAGATAGGAAGGAAAGTGACATTTGGTCTTTAAAAAAGCCAACTGATTGTCAGGTGCAAATCTTGGCACTTTATGTTCTAACTAAGCTAAGGGAGAAGAGGTACAGAAAAAGAAAAAACGATATCATCACCACTGAGAAGTAGAAAGCAGCCACCACAGGAGGAGGTGGTTTCTTTCTCTCAACAACCCTTTGTGGTAAGTAAGCACTGAAGCATTCCTTTGACTGGTGGAGAGAGGAAACCATACAGCTTGGGACATACGCAAACTTCCTAAGAAATCCCTGGGTGGAACTGACAATATGAACTTGAAGCATTCTGAGAAACTTCTATCATATTTTGAAATGAACCCAAGCCCTTAATCCCTTTGCTTTGACATAAGAGCTGAATTCTGAGTTAAGAGCTAGCACCAGAGGGAAGGCTAGTGCAAGAGTACAGGGCTTCAAGGAAGCAGCTTCCGTGCCTCGCCCTTATGCGCCTCACGCTATTTTCTGCTTTGGGAGAGTTTGAGGATTTTGAGTTAAGAGCCATCACTTGTCCAACAGGCGGCGGCCAGATTATTAACTGGGGCGAATTACAGAGAGCGGACAACTCTCCTGTTTAAGGAGCTCCACTGGCTGCCATTTATCTTCCGGGCCCAATTCAAGGTGCAGGTTTTGACCTACAAAGCCCTGAATGGTTTGGGGCCCGCCTACCTGTGCAACTGCATTTCTGTCTATGAACCCACGCGACCTCTTCAATCTTCCTGAAAGGCCCTTCTCTCGCTCCCGCCTGCATCGCAAGTGCGACTTGTGGGGACGAGAGAGAGGGCCTTCTCTGTGGTGGCCCCCTGGTTCTGGAATTCACTCCTCAGAGATATTAGGCAAGCCCCCACGCTGGCAAGCTTCAGGAGGAACCTGAAAACCTGGTTATTCCAATGTGCCTTCAATGATTGAATGTAAGATACTCCCTGACCAAATTTCGCATAAATGTCCTCAGAAGCACTTTATTTTATGGTTCGTGCAATTAATTCCTTCCTCAATCCAGATCTCCCTCCTCTATAATTTCCATTGCCCAATCTCCCAGTGTTTAATTTTTTTTAAAAAAATTATCCTTAAATTTGGCCTTGCCCCATGTAATCCTGTGTGTTTGATGTCCGATTTTATACCACTGTGTCGCTTATTATATTGGTTTTGCATTTTATGTTTTTTTTTWTTTTTTTTAGTTCTGTTATGCTTTGGTGTTATATTGTGTTATGCTTTTGTGTAATATTGTGTTTTCTGTACTGATGGGCATGGCCTCATGTAAGCCACCCTGAGTCCCCCTGGGGGAGTTGGAGTGGGATATAAATAAAGTATTATTATTATTATTATTATTATTATTATTATTATCACTTTGCTTTGAAATAAGATCAGCATTTTGAGTTAAGAGTTAGGAGCACTAGCACTAGCACAAGAGTACAGGGCTTTAGGACTTCAATGGAGCAGCCTCCATGCTTCTTGCCTCCATGCTTCATGCTCTTGTCTATTTTGGGAGATTGCTATCCACTTTGCTCATGTCCACTTTGAGGAATTTTGGGTTAGTTGATTTTGTGTGTTTTTTATGCCTGGCATGTTTGTCTTAATGAAGAATGAGGGAGAGCAAGATAGGGAGGGAGGCTGGAATGAGTACAGTATGAAGAAAGTGATGCTTCTGCCTCTTTGCTTGGTGCTTCCTTGCCACTACTTGGTGCTTCTACCATTTTAAAGTCGATCCCTTTTCTTTATTGTTGCATGTGAATATGCATTTATACATTATTTGTAACAAAAATGGATTCGGAACAGATTAATAACATTTCAATACATTTTTTGAGATACGAGTGTTTAGAGTTAAGAGCTTGGTCACGGAACGAATTAAACCCAAGGTATCACTGTACTAATAACTAATCATTTTGAATCAAAGGAAAGGGGGAAACACTGCTGCTGCTGCTACTACTACTACTACTACTACTACTACTACTACTATTATTATTATTATCCTCAGCCTGAACACTTGGCTCAGCAGGTTACTATTTCACCACATAAATAATATCCCTTTTAATGTGCCCATCTTCAGTTGTCATACATTCATATGTGGAGAGAGGCCTATTCAAGGGAGAACATCACCCTTAGAAATGGATGATGTGGCCTTCACTACTACAGCTACTTGGGAGAATACACACATATATCCATGTAACTCTCCCAGAGGATCATTATAACACACAGGCTTGTCTTCTGCTCTTATGAACTGCCCATGTAAACAAAAGAAATTTAGATAATCAGAAGGACCTGGGAGATAAAATGGAAGGGTCTCATTTCCAGAATAAAGGGGAAATATAGATACAAGGTGTTAAATAAGACTATCCTCATGATTGAACAATTGTAATAAGTATATCAAGAGTAGTAAACTGATCCTGGGTGTGGAGGGGGGGGGGGATGGGGATGATGGTGGGATTGGGGAAAAATATTTTGGCAGTTGAATTTTGAAGATTGTATGTTTCTATGTATTTGTGTGTGTATATATATATATAATATATATATATATAATTATCTCTTTATATCTCTCTCTATATAATATAATAATATAATAATCTATTTTAATTGTGTGTGTGTGTGTGTGTGCGTATATATACATATACATATACATAAGCGCTGTCCCCTGCCACGCGTTGCTGTGGCCCAGTCTGTTGATCTGGAAAATAAAGTAATGAGAAAGTTTTGGTTTCTAATATATGTAAATTCTTTATGCTTCTGGGTAAACAGTATTTCTTGCTGTTTCTTTGTCAATGTTGATGTGGAGAGTGTCTGGTTTGCCCACCCTGGAACAGGCAACATATCATTGTCTTTCTTTAAGGCTCCCTTTCAAATCTATAATACTATATCTCTCTGTGTGTGAATCATATCTATCTATCTATCTATCTATCTATCTATCTATCTATCTATCTATCTTTATGGCTGGATGGCTCTTTGTCAGGAGGACTTTGATTACGTTTTCTTGCCTGATGAAAGGAGTTGGATTGAATGGCCTTAAGTATTTTCTGATGGTCATGGGGGTTCTGTGTGGGAAGTTTGCCCCAATTCTGTCGTTTGTGGGGTTCAGAACGCTCTTTGATTGTAGGTGAACTGTGAATCCCAGTGACTACAACTCCCAAATGTCAAGGTCTATTTTCCCCAAGCTCCACCTGTGTTCATATTTGGGCGTATTGGGTGCTTATGCCAGGTTTGGTCCAGATCCATCATTGTTTGAGTCCACAGTGCTCTCTGGATGTAGGTGAACTACAACTCCCAAACTCAAGGTCAATGCCCACCAAACCCTTCCAGTATTTTCTGTTGGTCATGGGAGTTCTGTGTGCCAAGTTTGGTTCACTTCCATCGTTGATGGAGTTCAGAATGCTCTTTGATTGTAGGTGAACTATAAATCCCACCAACTACAACTCCCAAATGACAAAATCATAATTTTTTGAGTGATGGTCACTCCTTGTGTTGTGAGACGTTTTGTTGCCAAATTTGGTGTGATTTCGTTCATTGGTTCTTTTGTTTTTAAGGTCCTCATTATGCACAGAGCATTTATATATATATAGATTACGATATAATAGATAGATAGATAGATAGATAGATAGATAGATATATACACACACAATTAAAATAGATAATTATATTATTGCACTTCTTAAAATATGATAAAACTTGATTTCTGCACTGCAATTATTCCTTTCATCACAGAAATTTACCTGTATTTTCAAAATCTTTGGTGTTCTCTTGTTGATCTGTAAATATTTCACAATTCCTTTCTTCTAGATAGCAATCTTTCAACTGAGACTTAGCAGTCTCTTGGTCGACTGCATTTAAACTTTGACTGTTAGAAAATAAAATCTGCTCTGGAGCTGTAAAAATCCCTTTGAGATCCCTTTCCGCAGACTGTCTTTGAACAGAACATGCCGTCTGCTGCATCTCGTCTCTATAAGGACTATGCAAATTGGGTATTTGATGTACATCACCTGAATCTGTAAACAGCTGATCAATGATGTTCTTTTTAGCAAAAGAATGGCAGGACTGTGAAGAAGGGAGAGTCAAAAACGGTTGATTCTTCTCTTCAAATAATGCTGTGATAGGATGGGAAGTTTCTCCATGGGTATTCTTCATAGGGTCAGTCACAATGCCAACAAATGGGTCTTCTCTGCGGTTGCTTTCGAAGGTTGCATCGGCCGTGAACTTGGGAGACTTGCCAAACATGCTACCACATTCTGGACTTGGGGCAGAAAAAGTTAAATTAAACATAACAGGCAATATATAAACTATTGATATTATATTACTAAGATCAGTATGCTTTAAACTTTTCTTAACAGTTTTCTTTCCTGCATTCAATACCTATGTCACTGCCCCATTCAATCTCTCAAGAACATGGGAATCAAACTATCCAATGTTAAGGATTTAGAATACTCTGATAATGTCATATTTTCGATTTCTGTTGTTAAGGGAAAAATGCGCCCTGCTTTTTTATGTTTTAAACTAACATGGAATGTGTTGTTTTATTCAGACAGCTGTGACTAACCAGTCCAGCCACTGTATGTCACTGCTGCTCCACTGCAGCGAACAGGGGAGGAGGGAAATAGAGCATTGCTATGTGAAAAGCTACTTCAAGATATCCAGTGGACCACCAAATAAACTACAAGAGAATCCTGAAACCATGTTCAGCACTAAAAGGGCTCAGAAAGATGATAAATATTTTAAAATATATTTTCAGTGCATTCTCAAGAGGAAGAAGAGTGTGTTTGAAGATAAACACACAATTTATGACATGGTCATATAGCTCGAAAAACCTACAACAACCCAAATTAAAAAACCAACAACCCACCTTATAAAACCTACAACAACTCAACTTAAGACACAATTTTATTTGTATTAAATTTAAGTTAATCAAACCTAACCACAGGGTGATATGAATAACACAGAACAATAACAAAAATGCCCCCCCCCCCCCCCCCCGGGCCCTTCCACACAGCCATATAACCCAGAATATCAAGGCAGAAAATCCCACAATATCTGCTTTAAACTGGGTTATTTGAGTCCACACTGCCATATATCCTACAACAACCTACAATAACCCAACTTAAAAAATCAACAACCCAGCTTATAAAACCTACAACAACCCAACTTAAGACACAATTTTATATGTATTAAGTTTAAGTTAATCAAACCTAACCACAGAGTCATATGAATAACACGGAACAATAACAAAAATGTTTTTTTAGGGCCCTTCCACACAGCCATATAACCCAGAATATCAAGGCAGAAAATCCCGCAATATCTGCTTTGAACTGGCTTATCTGAATCCACACTGCCATATATCCTACAACAACATACAACAACCCAACTTAAAAAAAACCAAAAACCCAGCTAATAAAACCTACAACAACCCAACTTAAGACACAATTTTATTTGTATTAAATTTAAGTTAATAAAACCTAACCACTAGCCAGAAAAAAATTTCGGGAAGGGTTGAAATTTTCGGGAGGGGGGGGGTTGAAAATTTCGCGGAGGGGGAGGGGTTTGAAACCTGCCTCCTAGCTCAAGCTGAAGCAAAGAGCACAGCAGGGGGCAGAGCAGCCTTCCATAGCCTGCAGCTCCGCCCCTGTCAACCACCTCCACCAAGTCTGGCCTCCTTAATGAGAACATTCAACACACACACACCCAACTTGGTTGGTTCACTACATTGGCTATTGCTGCAAGTAATAACAGTGTGAATAAATTGTCAATATTTGCCTGAGATAGTGCTTGCAGTTCTGGAGGGACTCTTAATTTTTTGCATCTCATAGACTTAGCATGGGGATTTGGTTAACCAGTTAAAATTCATGAGTAAACCAGGTTTTTTAAAAAAATCTGAAACATTTCGGGGGGGGGGGTTGAACCCCTAAAGCCCCCCCTCGCTACAGGCCTGCCACTGGGTCATATGAATAACATAGAACAATAACATAAATGTTTTTCCTCCCTTCGGGCCCTTCCACACAGCCATATAACCCAGAATATCAAGGCAGAAAATCCCACAATATCTGCTTTGAACTTGATTATCTGAGTCCACACTGCCATATATCCCAGTTCAAAGCAGAAAATGTGGGATTTAATTCAGTTGTGTGGAAGAGGCTGTAGTGTCTTGGTTTTTACGCCTCTTCCTGGGGATTTGAGACACTGATTCAGGAAATTGCATCAGATAGACAGCTCTAGGTTCTTAGATACAGCTATCATGATTTTGATGGTATTTTTGCTTCTTGTATTTTATTTTGCTGTACTGTACTTTTGGGCTTGGCCTCATGTTAGCTGCCCCGAGTCCTCTTTGGATGGTAGCGGGGTATAAATAAAGATGATGATGATGATGATGATGATGATTCCTGTTTAGTTCTTGTGAGTCCAGATAACTTACTTGTACATGTTCACCATGTTTGCAGATGGATCTAAGTATGTAAATAGTGTAATCTAACAATCCATGTTAGGCATGAAATGCTATTCCAGAAAAGAAAGCAGACAGACAGGTATGATCGCAGTCTGCCCCATATTACATAGTCAAGGACACCCACATAGGGTTTAACTGAAAATGTGTTGTATATTGCAAAAACAAATCTTGACTTGGACATTTCCAGCCCCTTGATAAAATAACTGTTTTATGTACATCCAAAAATGTATTAACAGTTCAAGACCAGTTTATCTTTAAGGCTACTAGATTAAACACAATATAATAAACCATTGTGGAAGCCAACTTTGAATTGCAAGTGCAGAAGCTATTCCCTACCTGTTCAGCTGCTGGAAATACAGGCCAGCATGTCCCTCTACATTTGGCGTGTTGAAATTGTTTTGCCTGTATGGTGGTTTAGAAAGCCAAGGATCTTCACACTTAGTGTTTGCCAGCTGAGATGCTTGTAAGCTCTGTCAACACATGTCAGAAACACTTGTCAAGAATTTTTTTAAAATGTCCAGTGTCTTAAACACCGGGTAGTGCCAGTGATATTAATTGTTTTTTCATAATGCAGGGAACAGCTGGGAATGTGACTCTCACAGCATTTTATCAGATGTTTGCATTACATTCTTTTCATCAATAGGCAGTGCACTTTCCCAACAATTTTAATTTTGTTATTATTTTATTTATGACATTTATATGCCGCCCTTCTCACCCCGAAGGGGACTCAGAGCGGCTTACAAGGTATATACAAGGGATATTTTTTAAGTAAGGTCCGTTTTGTTGTAGACACTAGTAGTTCGCGCGCATACCGCAACGAGCACGTGCGTCGTGTACTGGCATGCCTCAGGAACAACTGTGCTCAGTTTCCGCTCTGTAGCTAACCTGTACGGTTCTGTTCTGTGCTTTAAAAATGTTTAAAACTATCAACTCACCCGCTGCATGTGAGGTTCGCTCAGTGATATGGTTTTTGTCAGCAAGGAACCTGCCTGCTGCAGAAATTCATCGACAGATTTGTGAAGTGTACGGTGATACTGTTATGAGTGAAAGCAAAGTGCGTAAGTGGGTACGACAATTCAAAGATGGCCGTGACAACGTCCATGATGAGGACCGCTCCGGTCACCCTTCTTTGATTACAGACGATTTGGTGGCTTCAGTTGAAGTGAGGATTTATGAAGAGGGTATTTTAAAATTGGTTCAGAAGTATGATAAGTGTTTGAACAAACTTGGCAACTATGTTGAAAAATAGAGTGAAGTATGTACTTTCTGAAAATAAATTTACTTTTTTGAAATAAACTTTCGTTGTGTACTTATGTTCCAACGGACCTTACTTAAAAAATACCCCTCGTATACATACAATACACTATACTATTAGCATAGTAGAATATCAGAACTGTGTTTTGGGGTTTTAGATCACAGTACTCTTCTATATAGTTGCTTTTTTAATATGTTGTAGAGACTCTATTTTTCCTGGTGGTTTTGTTATGTGCTGAATATAGTTACTATTTATGGTTTTCATTTCATTTTTTCACCCAGAAAACATTTTCTCCTGGGTGGTATTAAAGCACAATAAAAAAATAAAAACTTTTATCCTTTGGAGCCTTTGAGGAGTATACTGGTGTATTGCTTTGCTCCATGGCATGTTCATTTATGGATGCTGTTTTCAAATCATGCTCTGATGTTTTATAATATTTATAATCTTACATATCACGTTTAAGGCTATTTTGGGAAAGATAATTGATTACTATAGTTCAGTAGTTATCACTTGCCTTTCTCCACAGAGTGCTCAAAATTTGGGCCATGGGGTCTTACTAAATAGCAACTGCGTAACGTATGTAAGTGAACATGACACAAACCTTTATTGTACCAGCTCACATGGGAATCGCTCTAAAAGCTATTAAGTGGATGCAGTTTTTAGTGTAATGAAAAGAGGCCGGTAAGAGTAGTGTTTATAAAGCTTACTTGTGCCTTAATGTTTTCCTTCTCTAACAGGTATTTCCGTCTGTTTTCTAATACTTCTTGTTGCACCCTATTAACAAAAGAGAGACAGAAAAAGGAAGAAAATAGACTGGAATTTTTTCATCATTATTTGTTTTTTGAATATTTGCTCATCATTCCATTGTGAAAGGGTCGTCTGGTATTCCAAAGATACTGTAAAATTGTATGGTGCAAAGCTATGCATGGATAAGGAAATAAATGCTGTGCATGTCTACTCAGAAGTCTGTCAATTACGCTGTAGTTTTGGTCAACCAAGAATGACCAGAGTAGGAAAGGACAATGACGATGCTAAATGGCTTACGGACTTGGATTTGGTGAACACCGACCACAAGATGTTTTTATTGTTGCTAGTATATTGTCTGATGGTTTTAATTAGTTATAATTGTGATATTATGTGGTAAATTTGTGTATTGTATATGGTATTGTATGTTGTAATTGTTAGGCATCGAATTGTGCCTTTTGTAAGCCGCCCTGAGTTCCCCCTAGGGGGTTGAGAAGGGCGGGGTAGAAGCACCCCAAATAAATAAATAAATAAATAAATAAATAGTGTGCCCATGGATAGTGTCAGATTTGCATGGGAGCAGTCTGGTCACTTTGGGGCTTCTTTCTCAAGGGAAGAGGAAGAAGTGTGCTTTTGGAGTCTTAGATTTTGTGCAGGAAGTCGGGTTCTGCTGTATGGAAAACAGAGATTTGGTCCTTGGCATTGTGCTTAGGGAAGAAGTTTTGGCATTTTAAGGGTATGGAAGTTTTGGAACTATACATTGGCAGGCTGCAGGGAAGCACGATCTGGCCTAACAGGTGCTTCTCCAAGGAGGGAGAAAATGATATGGTAATATTTGAATGCCTGAGGATGAATGCATGTACATGTGGTATGAATGCTGAGTGAAAATGTAATTCCCCTTTGTCTGTTTGTTAGCCCAATGTAACTGTAAGTTGTGGTACATCCAATATAGTTACATAGAATCTGTATGTCTGTATGTCTAAATGTTTTTCTGTAATCTGATATACCCTCTCAAACTAGAAATTGCAATAAAAGAACCTGTGCTTTAAAGTTATTGAAAAGTCATTCATGACAGATCTGGGGGAAAAGCTTGGCACACATAACCAATATGAACAGCTTTAAAAACTGGTGGGGTTTGGAGGGATTTGACCTTGCATGCTGGGAGTTGGCATCACCCATAATCAAAGAGCATTGTCAACCCCACAGACAATGGATCTGGACCAAACTAGGCATACATACTCAACTTGACCAACTTTGAATACTGACAGGGTTTGGGGGGAATTGACCTTGCATTCTGGGAGTTGGCATCACCCATAATCAAAGAGCATTGTCAACCCCATAGACAATGGATCTGGACCAAACTAGGCACACATACCCAACTTGACCAAATTTGAATACTGACAGGGTTTGGGGGGAATTGACCCATGATGATGGGAGTTGTAATTCTTCCACATCCTTATGCATTTTCTAATGGGAGCATTAACAAAAACAACCCGGACATTTCTGAGTACCTAAGTTATATATAAAAAATAAAATATTGCAATTTACAAAGTTTCACTGGAATGAAAAATGCAGCGATCACTGCACATATACCTGAGCTGGATATCATCTGACAAAGATTTAGATTGTCTGCATTCTGGTGATTTGGGCAATTCTACGTTATGTTTTCTCAATGGATATTTTATTCCTCTGTTAATTTCCACATGAACTGGCTTTCGGATATCGTCTGTAATAAAAAGACAGCCATTTCAGTGAACTGGATAGGGAGGGACATATAATGTAGTGGACAGCCAAAACATTTTTAACTAGTGCAACATTCTCCATCCTACACAAACATAACTGTCAAGAGATAAGAGAACCTTAAAAAGGAAGAGGTAGAAGAAATAATTACTGGTCAATTGTCACAATAGAGGGATGTCACCAACAAGACCTCCTGATCTGTAGACACTAGTGCTTTTAAACTTTTTCATAAATGGCCTAGAGACAGATGGACCTTTCTGTGGACACTTGTTTCTCTCTAGTATCAGAGGCAGTATGTCTTTGCAAGTGGGTTGTTGGAGAGCATTAAGTGGGAACATGCTGTCACACTTGTGCTATTTATGGACCTCCCATGGGCAACTTGTTGGCTGCTGTATGAATAAAATGCTGAACTAGATGACCCATCAGTCTGATCCAACATGGCTGTCATCTAGTGTGGAATTACAGATTTTTCTGCAGAATTTTTATTTCTAGAAGGCAGACTTTCAATTCATATCAAAATATTAATTATTTTCAGATTGATTAATATTCAAACTGCAGAAGCATTGTGGAGTTAGCAAGATTTACTGTCCTAATTTTAATGGTAAGATTTATCAATTAAAATAGCTGCGAAACTCACCAGTATTATCCTTCCTAGTAGAGATCTGGTTAACAACATACAAGTTGAGAAGATCTAGACTGACAGCTGACTTTTTAAGGGGAGATACTCCTAAAAGTTTCATCTTTGATTTCAGTTTTTCCTTTTCAAAAAATTCCTATTATAGTGACAGAACAGGGGGAAATTCAAATATTAGACAGAAAAACGTTACAGTTATATATCATCCCATACTAATACTCAAAATATTTACAGTTACAATTTAACATCTTTAGAGAAAAGGACATTTATCCAAATAATATAAAATATCTAATCTCAAAACAACTAGATGTCATTCAAACAAACAAAAAATTGGCAATTCTGGATGATTTTTTGGCCAGAAGAAAATTAAAATTAATTAAATGTGACAGAAACCCACATTTCTAGTAGTAGTCAGACCCTGAGGCACAGTCTCTTTGCCTTCCCATCAGAGCTACAAACACTTTGTCTGAATAGCTGTATCTCTTTATTAGCAAAATGGCAGATATCAGTCCTTGTATTCAGGTGTGCATATTAAAGTTACCTCAGAGTTTGGTGGCAAAGCCTCTACAGCAGGGGTCTCCAAACTATGGCCTGCGGGCCGGATCCGGCCCTCCGAGGGCATCTATCCGGCCCACGGGCTGTGGAGAAGAGTGAGAGGTGGGCGAAGGGGGAGGGAGGCGGCGGGCGAAGGGGGAAGTGGCGGGAAAAGCGGCTTGGGTCCGCTTTGCCCTCTGCCTCCGTGGGCCCAGGCTCTCCTGCCTTCGGGATGCGGCCTTGCTGCATCCCGGAGGCAGGAGAAGGGGGGGAGGCGGTGGGCAAAGCGGCTTAGGCCCGCTTTGCCCTCTGCCTCCGTGGGCCCAGGCTCTCCTACCTTCGGGATGCGGCCTTGCTGCATCCCAGGGGCAGGAGAAGGGGGAGAGGCAGTGGGCAAAGTGGCTTGGGACCACTTTGCCCTCCGCCTCCGTGGGCCCAGGCTCTCCTGCCTTCGGGATGCAGCCTCGCCGCATCCCGGAGGCAGGAGAAGGGGGGGGAGGCGGCAGGCAAAGTGGCTTGGGCCCGCTTTGCCCTCTGCCTCCATGGGCCCAGGCTCTCCTGCCTTCGGGATGTGGCCTCGCATCCCGGAGGCAGGAGAGGGGGGGGGCCTTAAATCCAGTCATGTCCGACTCTGGGACTCTGCTGCTCATCTCCATTTCTAAGCCAAAGAGCCGGTTGTCCATAGACACCTCCAAGGTCATGTGGCTGGCATGACTGCATGGAGCGCCGTTACCTTCCTGCCGGAGCGGTACCTATTGATCTACTCACATTTGCATGTTTTCAAACTGCTAGGTTTATATTTATTCTAAACTGCTAAGTTTATATTTGTTAAAATAGTTCTTCATTTTAATTATTGTATTATTTAAAGTGTTTTTTGCACTACAAATAAGATATGTGAGGTGTGGATAGGAATTCATTCATGCGTTTTTTTCAAATTATAATCCGGCCCTCCAACAGTTTGAGGGACTGTGACCCGGCCCTCTGTTCAAAAAGTTTGGGGAACCCTGCTCTACAGCCTCAAAACAAGGAATTGAATTTAAATAATAATCTTTTTACAATTGGTGATACAGCATCAGGGACTATTAATAATAATATATGACAAACAGCATTGAATTGTTGCCAGGTATAAGCCGTCCTGAGTCCCCCTTCGGGGGTTGAGAAGGATGGGGTAGAAATGCTAGAAATAAATAAATAAACAATTTGAATGTGATTCATTTTTTACTCCTTAGATATTCCTTAGTAATAATACATATTTACAAGAATAAAGACTAGAAATATTTTTAATGACATTGAAATTGTGTTTCACATGTTTCTAGCTTTAAAAGGGCTAGTGATATCCAAAGCAATTTCCATTGTACCCTATTCATTTTGCATTTTTAAATCCCAACGGTAGCTTTGCTGATGGTGTTCTAGATTGTTTTTCTTATGTCACGTCTATTTTGATAGCTGTGATTCAGCTGATCTATACAAAACCATCCTACCTTTGTCAAAATACAAATCGAAGACTAAACATTTAAGAAGTATTTCCCAATAGATTAGTTCATTCCTGCTTTGCTTCTCATTAGTTATTTCTAAACAAGACACTAGATTGAAGCTGAATATGAAACACAATTCACTTGAAACCTCAGTAGGTATGAAAAGACTTTACATGTATTTCATAGGATTTTTATTACATTATAGCCCTTCTTCACATGTATGACCTCTGATTTACCATAATAATTCCTTACCTTTTGCTTTCTTTTCTCCTTGTTAAGTATGATTCTTTTACTTGAAATTGAAAGATTTAAAAGAAAGATTAGTTTGTTTTTACAATTCTAATACCGTTTATACTCGAGTATAAGCCGACCCGAATATAAGCCGAGGTGCCTAACTTTACCTCAAAAAACTGGGAAATCGTATTAACTTGAGTATAAGCCGAGGGTGGGAAATGCAGCAGCTATGGGCCAATTTCAAAATAAAAAATAGATACCAATTAAATTAAATTAATTGAGGCATCAGGAGGTGAAATGTTTTTGAATTTTTACATAACACTGTAATTTATGTCGAGCTCTGATTAAACCATTATTCTAACCTTCTTCAATGTAAATGTGCTTGTGTATCAGTTCAGCCCCCTCCTTCCTGACCTTCGGGAAACTACTTAAAATGTGTCTTTTAAAACAAGCATTTGGGCTGTGAGATGAAGCAGTCAAGACAATTTTGAGATTGGTGCAATGTCTTATAATAATAATAATAATAATAATAATAATAATAATAATAATAATAAAGATAATAAAATAATAAATGTAATAAAAATAATAATAGAGTAAAATAATGGAAATGTAAGAATAACAGTAATAATAGAGTAAAATAACAAATGTAATAACAACAATAATAGTAATAATAATAGAGTAAAATAATACATGTAATAAAATAATAATGGAGTAATATAATGAAATAATAATAATAGAGTAAAATAATACATGTAATAATAATAGAGTACAATAAAAATGTAATAAAACGATAATAAATAGAGAAAAATAAATGTAGTAATAATAATAATAATAATAAATAGAGTAAAATAATAAATTTAATAATGATAATAATAGAGTAAAATAATGTAAATGTAATAATAATAACACATAGAGTAAAAGATTAAATAATGAATAATACTAATAACAGAGTAAAATAATAAATAACCTTGACTTGAATATAAGTCAAGGGGGGCTTTTTCAGCCTAAAAAAGGGGCTGAAAAACTAGGCTTATACTCGAGTATATACAGTATATTTATAGAAATAGTGTTATAATTCAATGCTGAATTGTGTGTTCAATATCTATATTTTGCTTGCTAAACTCTTCTGCAATTTATCAAGTCATTAGCTAACCTGCAGAGATCAATGGAATGCATACTCTTAAATTCAATTAATCATTTCAATCAGAGTGGACATCATGAATGAATGGCATTTATGTAAGTGTTAATTTACCATTTAGTAATTCCTTCACAATGGCTGGGCCTAGAATTCAGATTGAGACTATAAACTTTAAAATATCTTATTTTAAATAGTATATTAATTTATATCAGTACTTTTTGTCATGCCCCATATCTGACGACCCCAAGACGGTGTTCAAAAAAAATCAATTGAGAACATTTTAAAAACATTAACACTAATATAAAGACTAAAGTAATATTTTAAAAAGTTATGAGCACATCTGTACTGTAGAATGAATGCAGTTTAACACCACTTTAAATGCCTTGGTCAATGCTATGGGATCCTAGTAGTTGTAGTTTTACATGATCTTTATCTTTCTCTGCCAAAGAATACTGGTGCCTCACCAAACTACATGCCACAGGATTCCATAGCACTGAATCATGGCAGTTAAAGCTCGTCGGACTGCATTAATTCTACAGTGTAGGTGCAGCCTATGACGGTTAAAATTTCAATTAACATTGAAGTTTTTGAATAACACTATGCAACAAAAAAAATTCTGTTCTTGTTTTGAAAGTGTTATTTCCTGATTAATTGTGCAGTACTTACTTTGAAAATAGTTGTTATACTCCAGAAATTTCATTTTTGTGACTACCACAAACTATGTTGAATTGGTTGAGACTTGAAGATATATTCATTGAAAAATTATAGCAAAATATGCTGCCGGATGTCCCATGATAATAAAGTTTTTGCAGTTTAATAAACTTTTCTCGTGTTTTGATGATAGAACCAACTAGGAAATGCCATTGATAACCCAAGAACAAAACTCGTGTTACTTAGTATAACCAGAAATATAATTATTTAGTTAGGAGGAAATAAAGTACTGTAGTTACTCGAATCTAATGCTCACCTTTTTTTTTGACTAAATTGCCTTCCCAAAATTAGGGTGCACATCAGATTCATGTAATATTATAAATACTTTTTTGGGTTTCAGGATTTTGAAAATTGAGGTATGCATTAGATTAGATGGTGCATTAGACTCATGGAAATAAATATGGGTATATTTTATTCCAGTTATATGTTCCCGATCATGTATCCTGATCACCAAACTTTGGGCAAAATGAACAAGGCATCACTTTGTGCATGGTAACAACAGTGACTGAGGCCCCTACAACAGGGCTGTATAAAATCCACATTGAACTGGAACATATGGCAGTGTGGACTCAGATAACCCAGTTCAAAGCAGATATTGTGGATTATCTGCCTTGATATTCTGGCTCATATGGCTATGTGGAAGGGCCCCCAGGCTCCTTTTACACTGTTCTTATATCCTAGGATCTGATCCCAGGTTAACTGCTATGAACTGGATTATATTTATTTATTTATTATTTACTTCATTTATATACCGCTTTTCTCAGCCCTCAGGCGACTCAAAGCGGTTAACAACAGCAAAATTCAATGCAAAAACATCACAAAACGAATATGGGACAGTTAAAACAGTAGCATCATCAACAATTAAACATCAATATAACAATCATTAGCATCTCATCAGTAAAATCAGAATCCAATCTCATCATCCATTATTCCGTATTCCTATAATCAATTACACTGCTTAATCGAATGCTTGTTCGAACACGTCTTCACTTTCCTCCGAAACGCCAACAGGGAGGGGGCCGATCTGATATCTACACTGTCATATAGTCTGGGATAAGCAGATAATCTAGGGGCCCTTCCAGACATGCCTCTATCCCAGGATCTGATCGCAGTTTATCTGCTTTAAACTAGATTATATCATCATCATCATCATCACTTATTAATCGCTCTCCATCCGAGATGCTCCAGGCGATTTACACAGCAGAAACCATACAGGATATATGAGTCCACACTGCAAGATAATCTGGGATAAACAGAAACCCTGGGATACAGGGCCTGTCTGGAAGGGCCCCCAGATTATCTGCTTATCCCAGAGTATAAAACAGTGGAGACTAATATAGTTCAGTTCAAAGCAGATAACCTGGGATCAGATCCTGGGATATAAGAACAGTGTAGAAGGGGCCCGAGGTTCCTTCAACACTGCCGTATAAATATATTTGCTTCAAACTGAATTATATAGCAGTGTAGACTCATATATAATCCAGTTCAAAGCATATTATCTTCTTCGATAACCGAAATTATATGGCAGTGTGGATCCAGCCTGAGACCCCATCTACATTACAGTTTAACTACCTTGAACCACATTATACAGCACTGTACTCATATAATCCAGTTCAATGCAGTGAAACTGCATTATTTGGCAGTGTAGACAGGGCCTGAGTCCCTCACAGCAGTCTTTTTTCATCTTTAGTTTCTTTTAAACAGTTCCCCTGAATGGCAAGCAGAAATGCAAAGGAGGACGAATATTTCTGCTCCTTTATCACTATACTGCTGTGTGATGGGGGAAAAAATGCAGACTTGGCTTGTAATCGAGCTGTCACTGCTTCTGAGGCCCTGTGGTTTAAAAGGAGTATAAAATGCAGTAATGGCTAGCTAGCAAGAAAGAACCACAATCTCACATTTAAGGAGATAGAGGTGCCCAGCTGCCTCACACGCTGTCAAATGACTTGCTTTATAATAACGTCCATACTGCTTGCTGAGCCCAGGGAAGCGGCCTTTATGCTATGACCACAGAAAGCCTCGTATTTGAAATTTATGAGGGCTTCTGCTTCACTCACCGGGAGCCTCCAACCCAGTTCATTTTCTTTGACCAAAAAGTACAAGCAAGGCCTGCCTATTGACTTGTAAGGCGGGCCAGTCTGAAGGGAAGTGGCCTCTAAACCAACACTAGCTGAGCAAAACCTCCTTCATGTAAAACAGGCGCAGGCCACTGAAGAGAAACACAACAACAGCAAGGACTCCAAGATGGTGATGGTGAAGAAAGCCTTATTTCGGCCTGTAACTGGTCACTAAGGCCGATGGGAGTTGCTGTGATGATGAAGAAGGCCTCATTTTGGTCTAACTGGTCACTAAGGCCGACGGGAGTTGTTGTGATGGTGAAGAAGGTCTTATTTCAGCCTTTAAGTGGTCACTAAAGCCAACGGGAGTTGCTGTGATGATGAAGGCCTTATTTCGTCCTGTAACTGGTCACTAAGGCTGACAGGAGACGATGAAGGCCTTATTTCCGCCTGTAACTGGTCACTAAGGCCGACGGGAGTCGTTGTGATGGTGGAGAAGGCCTTATTTCAGCCTGTAACTGGTCACTAAGGCCGACGGGAGTTGTTGTGATGGTGGAGAAGGCCTTATTTCATCCTGTAACTGGTCACGAAGGCCTCTCAGAAACCTTCAGTAGTAGCCAGGGATAAGCAGTCTCTAGGCCCTTTCACACCGCACTTTTGTAGTGCTATTATCCAGCTTTTATTGCCATGGCAACACTATGAGGCATTCTGAGGTTTATAGTTTAGTGAGGCCTGAGAGGGCTCTGAGAGAGAATTCGGATTGGCCCTCCCCAAATTGCAAATCTATAGGACATTGCCATGGGATAAACTTCTGTTTGCTGTCTTTTTTTTCTCATTTCCTTCATAATTTTCTCCATTTTCTCTTGCCTTATCCAGAAAGGGGAAAATATTCCAAACTCTGAAATTATCATCTTGTATGGGTTGCCTTATGCTGGGGAAAGTAGAAGGAAAAAGGAAGAGGGGCCGACCAAGGGCAAGATGGATGGATGGCATCCTTGAAGTGACTGGACTGACCTTGAAGGAGCTGGGGGTGGTGACGGCCAACAGGGAGCTCTGGCGTGGGCTGGTCCATGAGGTCAGGAAGAGTCGGAGGCGACTGAACGAATGAACAACAACAACATGGGTGGCCTTGCTTTCTATTTATTTCCTTACTTATTTTATTTGTATCCCGCTTTTCTCTCTGTAAGGACTCAAAGTGGCTAACATGTCACAAAAGGATGAAATAGGAATTTGAAAACAAGTAAAGTAGGTTTCCCCTTGACATTAATTCTAGTTGTGTCCAACCCTGTGGGGGCTGAACCAGGTGGCTCATGTGGTGTCTTCCAACTTTATGATTCTATGAAATTAGGACAAATATTTCCTAAATTATCTTCAGGCTGTATGTATAAAGTATACAGTATGTGAAACATAAATAGATTTAGACTTGGATCCTATCTACACTATCTACACTATCCCATGATGTATAAACTAGCTGTCCTCTGCCCCACATTGCTGTGGCCCAGTCTGTGTATATAATAATAATAATAATAATAATAATAATAATAATAATAATAATAATAATAGAAAAGCCAGAACTGAAAAGTCGACAACAGATTCCAAATGTAGACTCTGCAAGGAAGCAGATGAAACAATAGATCACATCCTCAGCTGCTGCAAGAAGATCGCGCAGACAGACTACAAGCAGAGGCATAACGCCGTTGCTCAGATGACTCATTGGAACTTGTGCCACAAATAGCATCTGCCTGCAACAAAGAACTGGTGGGATCATAAGCCGGAAAAAGTTACAGAGAATGAACATGCCAAATTCCTCTGGGACTTCCGGACAGACAAACAGAGAGAGTTTTGGGGCATAATACTCCTGACCTCACAGTCGTGTTAAAAAACAAAGCATGGATCATCGATGTCGCAATCCCAGGTGACAGCAGGATTGCAGAGAAACAACTGGAAAAGCTGACACGATATGAGGATTTAAAAATCGAACTGCAAAGACTCTGGCACAAGCCAAAAGGTGGTCCCAGTGGTGATCGGCACACTGGGTGCAGTGCCTAAAGACCTTGGCCTGCACTTAAACACAATCGGCACTGACAAAAATTACCATCTGCCAGCTGAGAAGGCCACCTTACTGGGATCTGCATGCATTATTCGGTTATACATCACATAGTCCTAGACACTTGGGAAGTGTCCGACGTGTGATTCAATACAACAGCCAGCAGAGTGTCTGCTGTGGACTCATCTTGTTGTGTTTCAAATAATAATAATAAATAATAATAATAATAATAATCTTTATTTATACTCTGCCACCATCTCCCCAAAGGGGACTCGGGGCGCCTTACATGAGGCCACGCCCCGAGAAACACAATGTAACACAAAAACACAACAGAAAATCAGAAAATAAAATAACATAAAATACAAAAATACAAAATGTAAATATACATTTTTTGTGTTTATATATATTTGTGTATATGTGTATATATGTATGTTTGCATATATATGTGTGTGTGTGTGTGTGTGGGTTTGCGCATGCATTGTAACGAACATTACATTTTTATTTATATAGATACTAGCCACCCCCTGCCATGTGTTGCTGTGGCCCAGTCTGTGTATATGTGTTTTGTGTGTGATATATGTGTGTGTGTTTGTGTATTTATATGTGTATTTGCATATATACAGTATAAGTGGTTTTGCACATGTTGTAATGTATTTTTGTTTTTTGGCTTTTAAAGTCTCTTCTGTTGTGTTTTTCAGTGTTTTTATGAATGATGGTCACTTGTTGGCCTGATAGGTGTATTGTGTCCATATTTGGTGTCAATTCGTCCAGTGGTTTTTGAGTTATGTAATCCCACAAATGAACATTACATTTTTATTTATATAGATATACAAGTAAAGGTATTCTAACATCTTTAAAAAGGTCAAAAATACAAAACACCCGTTTTCACACATTTTGGACAAGAGATATTGAACCCTTTACTTAGCTGTTAAGTAAAGTGTCAGTAATTGGAAAGAAAATAAAAGGGTACTGGAAACATGTAGTACAGTGATGGGTTCCTGGGATTTAGGGGCAATGGTTGTTTAGATGTCCTAATGGGCTCCGCTGGTATGAAGAGGGGTCGAGGAAGTGCATAAATGGGTTTCTCAGTTCCTGCTGGACATGGAACATTTGTGACACAGGAAAACCAACCAAGACTGATCCCTGCTGATAGTGATGGTGCAAATATGGGGTCTTTTTTCGATAATACTCGGATTAAATAATAATTCTGCACAGGTCAACAGTTTTAGTAATCTAGTCACCCTTGGGACTAGAGGTAGCTCCCCCTTCCTCAGGATTGATAATAACTAAAATATTATTCTCTCTTTGACAGAAAATAAAACTGAACTGAATCATTTAATCACAGCAATCCTGAATCTGCCAATTCAAAACTCAATGTATAAGGTGAGAATGTGATGGGGCTCGGTATTGTTGAGGCTTAGCACATACTCCATATATCTATATGGATTAGTTATTTTTACTAGTGGGACTTGTGATCTGTTTCTACTGCAATCCAATGTTAATTCTTCAATTTTGAAAATACTGAAGAAAAACAAGAATAAGAGCTTGGGTATAGAGAGTGAAGCATTTGATTTTTGAAAAGGTTGTTTTTCCTCACAGTCGTGCAATCGGTGGCCATGCTGTATCTTTTGTGGTTTAACTCTCAGGTGCCATTCCACAGCAACCCAGTTCTTCTCCAGTTCTCAGTGCCCCTGGGATCTCATTTAAAAATGTGTTTGCAGATGAGGCCAGTGCTTCCTGAAAACTGTGTAAGCAGCTGTCAAAACCCAGATGCCTTAAAGAGCCAGACACAGGAGTATGTCCAAAACAGTAGTTTATTAAATCAAAGTAAACAAGACTCAGAGACACTTGCTTCAGTGCCTCTGGTCAAAACTCAAAGGTTGTAGCAATTTCTAGCTTGTAAAACAAACATAGTCAATAATCTGGATTAAACTGGCAAAAACCCCAGATTAAACAAGAGTTCTTCCAAAACACACCAAAATCACACAGTTCAATGAAAACAAACAAACAAAGAGTCATGAAGAGAAGCCGTCGTCCAAATGCAGTCCAAAGTCGAAGAAATCCCAGTTGAAGGTTCCAAAGTCCACAAAGCAGCGTCATCATCAAAAGCAGTCCGAAGTCAAGGAGAGGGGAAATCCGCATTTATGACAATCCAAGCTGGTCGGTAAACGAAGCAAAGCAGCAACCTGCAGATCCAGGACCCAAGCCCAACAGGAAAGTGACAGCGACAAGACCCAAGGCACGAAACCAACACTTTGCCTGCGTTGATTGAGTACACACATACTGAACCTCCTGTACTTTGGTCCAATCCAATGGTTCCTCTTCATTCCCATCACTCCCAGACCCATCATTTCCAGAAAAAAACCCATGAAATCCTCTTCCTCTGTGGGAACAGTAAGTATGTCCTGGATCTTCTTTCTCTGTCGCTCCTTGTCCGATTCCTGCTCTCGAGTAATCCTCTTAGTCCCTCTATTCCCATCTGTATCTCCTTCCTCCTCCTCACTCATTTCACTCTCGGAGAACCCCTCAAAGGACTCTTCGTCAGTGGGTGATATAAGTATCTCCCGGATCCTCTTCCTTTGCTGTTCCTCGTATAACACCTGAGCGCCTCTTTTCCCTCCTTTACCACTCCTACTACCAGTTGCAGCGTTGCCAACAGACTCTACTACAACAGCAGCAACAACCAAGGTTCTCCTCATCCCCAACTATGGGTGCAACTTTTCCCATAGGCTACAGCGTGAATAGAAATATAAAATAAATAGTAGTCAAATTCTTTTCCTTACTTCCTTTAATGAATGTATAAATGCCTGTCCTCTCCCAAAAACCATGTCTAGTGTTTCAACTCAGACATGCAAATAGGATTTGAAAAGCTTCCCCAGCTGAACTTTTTCTATTGTATAACACATAAAAACAATCTGGGATCCTGCCCACCTGGCATGACATCCATTTCTTTTGCTTTTGAATTTTTTTTAGCCA